TTCAATCAATTAATATAAAAACAATTTTGCACATTTTCTCTCCTCGATTTTATCTTCTTAATTTTCAATCTCGAAAAAATGTATTTATAAAGTATTTCAGAGTGTCTCAAATTTTTCAATTAAATATCAAAAAACTTCTAATTAAAAGTACTTCCTAAAAATTCAGATTTTATTTAATAAATTCAGATTTTAAATTATTTTAAATTATTTCATTTCACAAATTTAGATTTTAAATGAAATTTCAAGTATAATCTTTATACTTGAATGTTTCAGCAAGGGAAAAAAAAGAAACTAGGAAATTGAAATAATTCAATCAATTAATATAAAAACAATTTTGCACATTTTTGCTCCTCGATTTTGCCGAGATGAAGTAACACATTTTGCTATCAAATCGAATGCAATTCTATCGGGTTCTAACAAAGACCTAAGGGTCAGTGTGAGAGACAGGGGAAGCCTAAATTGCCGCGATGCGATACGCAGGAATGCGCCGAGATATTTCGCGACGCGGGGGAGGGGCATGAAGAGGATACGGGGAAGGATCTCGCGGGTAGATGAACAAAAGAACGAGGAAAGCAGAAATAAAAAAAAGAACAAGGGGATGCGGGAGGCACACAAATTGCGGCGGCGAAAAAAGCGCGCATTCTCCCGTTGTTCCTCCCGTCCTTCCCCGGAGCCTCGGAGGCGAAACTATTGTCTTTGTGCGAGCGTCCTTAGAGATCTCACGCTTCGTTCAACAAGGCGTTTGGCCTCGCATTCGCAACCTAGTTTCGCGAATGACACCGCTAATATAAACAATAGCGCGGCGATTAACACGTTCTTCGCTTTAAGATATTTTCCTCTCTGAGGGGGTGAGATTATTTGCCGACCGACGATTTGATAGCGAAATGTGTTACTTCAACTTTGTGAGATCAAGAAGAAACTGGGAAATTGTTTTATATTAATTGACTGAATTATTTCAACTTCGATTTCTTCTTCCTTTTTGTCCTCTGCGAAAACATTCAAGTATAAAGATTATACTTAAAATTTATCTTTGAAATTTAATTTAAAATTTGAATTTATTAAATAAAATGATTTAAAATAATTTATTTAATAATTTATTTAATAATTTTTTTATTCAATAATTTAAAATAAGATTATACTTGAAATTTATCTTTGAAATTTAATTTAAAATTTGAATTTATTAATTAAAATAATTTAAAATAATTTAAAATCTGACTTTATTAAATAAAATAAATTAAAATAATTTAAAATCTGAATTTTTAGGAAATACTTTTAATTAGAATTGTTAATATTTAATTGAAAAATTGGAGACAATCTGAAATACTTTATAAATACATTTTTTTCGATATTGAAAATTCCTCTGCAGAAACATTCATGTATAAAGATCATAATTGAAATTTATCTTTGAAATTTAATTTTAAATTTGAATTTATTAAATAAAATAATTTAAAATAATTTAAAATCTGAATTTATTAAATAAAATCTGAATTTTTAGGAAGTACTTTTAGTTAGAATTTTGTTGATATTTAATTGAAAAATTTGAGACACTCGGAAATACTTTATAAATACATTTTTTTGAGATTGAAAATTGAGAAGGAAATTTTTGACGATTGAAAAGTAGATTCCCAGCTGCTTTTCTCCTTTTGTCGAGAAAACTGGTTTGTTTAATAGCTGCTACAAGTTTCATAAATATTTGAGGATCGAGTTGGATTGTGTTGGATCCGATAAGAATAGATTTTCTGTGGAAAAGAATATAGCGATAGAAAAAAATTAATCTGATAAACAGATAATAATATTTTTTTCTATTAAATTTCGAATAAAAAACTTTGAATGAGAGACACTCTTTGCACATCTTGCCAATAAAATTAAAATTCACTGAATGATTAGAAAAAAAACGATGTCCATCAATTAATCGTGATAAAAATCATCGTGTGACAAATTAATAAAAACTAATATTCTTGTCAATATTATTAATATTTTTCTTTTCATTTTAGAAATTTTTATGTTATTGAAATTATTATAAGCACGAATTCGTTCGAAATTTCGAATGTTGTTTTTACGCCGAATACTTCCAGACTCTATAATATTCTTGATCGGGGACAAAGTTTTTTCCTCTTCAGCAGGAACCGCGCAATGAATATTTTTGCATTAACGCTCGAGAGCTTGATAAAAAAAAGCGCGTCCGCGCATACTCGTTCTTTCCATTTATGTGCATATTCATGAACCCGTTTTCTCGTTCGTTATTATAAAAATGCTCTTTACCGGGCAAGAAAAAAACTCGTTTATGAATACCGACCACTTAGCGATCAATAATAACTCGGATAATAAGGGCGAATGACATCGAGAATTGTTCATCAACCAGAAAAAATTAATCGCGAATAACATTGAAATCAACTTCGATCAAATTCTTTTCGTTTGAAAAAATTATTTATCTTTTCGTTTTAAAAAATTATTTATATAATATTTAACATAATATTTGTAATATAATTTGAATTAATTATTACTATTGTATTATATTTTAATTATAATTATTACTATGTAATCGATATAATTGCCGTCTATTTACTCAAAGAAACATTTACTGTTTCATGGAAAACAGAAATTAATAATTATTTACAGGTTCCAAGGGAATGTGCAGATATAAATATTTTGGAGTGGTAAAAAAATCAGGTTCATATTTATCCCACATTGTCAAAAATGGCTCGAGACATTTTAAGTTCAACTACCTCGTCCGTGCCAGTAGAAAGACTTTTCTCAATAGGAACTCTAAGACTATGTCAAAAAATAGAACCAGATTACAAAGTAAATCTTTAAAAGCACTAATGTGCATCAATTCCTGAAATGGTCTTTAATGTCTAAAATTTGCGAATTTGATTTCTAATTTATAAAAATGTTATATTGTATTAATATTAAATGTTTCTAATTTATCAATGTAAATGTTTTTATTGAATACAATTTTTTTAAATTCGTATATAGTGATTTTTTTTCATTTACAAATATAAATATTTTAGTTTTTTTGAGAACCAATAATCTTGACAAGACTAATAATCTTGACAATCTTAGTCTTGATAACTAATTAAAAATCTTGTCTTGAAATTCAAGACAGGACAATATCAAGATTAATCTTGGTGTCTCGTGCAACCCTACTCGAAACTTTTTTTTCGACGCGATTATTCCTGGAAAATGACTTTTTTCGAGGAGCGATTCCTTTGGGCGGCGATGACCTTTGGAGAATCCGCCAGAAAAAGAAATCGGGTCCAACAAAAGGGTTTCTAATGGACGCTGGGCATCCCGCGGAACGCCTTATAAGGCCAAACCCCGAGAGTCGGCCTCTGCTTTCGGTTCACAAGCGAGCACCTCGGAAGAATCCGAGTCGGGGCCGAGTCGCGCAGAGGCGCCTCCTCGCTCTGCCGGATTTAGACCGAAAAAAGAAGCATCACGATGAAGCATCGGGGAGAAGAACGAAAAGAGAACGAGGGGAAACGAGCGCGAGATCGAACGTTGTTCAGGAGAGGCTTATCGACGCCCGAAATATCCGGACAAACTGATGCGGCGATCAAATTTTGCGATTAATTCTCGCAAGACCTTGTAAGCACGACCGAGAATGTGCGAAATAAAAATCAGCCCTTTACCGAGATTGATACAAATATCTATAACAATGCTGGTTATTTTTCTAGGACTTTTAAAATGATTCTTTTCGAGTGTAATTTTAATTTTGATTAAGTGTTCTTTTATTTCTTTTATTTTGTTTTTATATTTTATATCTTTATATTTTATATCGTGCAAAAGCATAATTATTTTGCAGCTATTTTGAAAAAAAAATTCAAACGCAATGTTGCTGTTTAATTATAATGTCATTCGTTATTTAATTATTTCAAAGAAATTTTGGAAACTTGATATGCAGCTAACATATTAATTAATTAATTAATTAATTAACATAAAATAGTGTATACATATTTTTCGTTGCGCGAAAAGTGCACAACAAAAGTCAATTATATATCTGAATTGTTACACAAATATGTTGAGAGCAAGCGTTAATTTTTTTTTCGCCAGCAACATTCTTTTGCAGTCGGGATTACCATATAGAAAAGGAGACAGAATCGCTAGTTAATCGACTAAATGTACGGTGTTGCGTTTGCGAATTAAACTCGTATAAATTATACGGACAAATGCACGCGTACGAATGCATTGCAGCCCGCATACATATGCAAACGACATGACGCATTCGTATTCATGTATGTAGATTCGAGACGGCGCGAATCCCTTTGAGGATCAATCGGCCACTGCGAATGTTCCTTCTTATGTTGATTCAACACGAGTAACAAGTCGAACATGCATGTTTGCGTCACGCAAGCAGTAATATCTAATAATAGCGAAAATATATTTTGAGAGTACGACATATGAAAAAAAAAACATTGCAGCAAAGATACAAGATTAGACACTTCAAGATTTTGTCTCGAGTGTTAATATATTAAATATGAGATGAAAAATATTCGAGTTTTAATCTGTATGAATTATTTTAATCATAAAAATAATTATTTCAAAATAAAAATAAAAATTACTGTAAATAATAAGTAATAAATATATAATTATTATAATAAATATATAATAATTATTTCAAAATAAAAATAAAAATTACTGTAAATAATAAATAATAAATATATAATTATTATAATAAATATATAATAATTATTTCAAAATAAAAATAAAAATTACTGTAAATAATAAATATATAATAAATATGTAAATAATAAATTATAAATGAATAAATAAATTTTGCTTCAGGATATTTTTCCCCATAAAATGTATCTGACATTTTCCCTCTTCGCGAAAATCAGAATCGCATCAGAAATTCCATCGAAAATATACTATCCTCATTTTTATGTATGATAGAGCAAATAAATTCGCGGCACCTTAGATGGACAAATTTCCATGCGACGGAGACAATCCCGATATATCCTGTTCCTCATGGGCATTTTATAGTACGTTTCTATCCTTACCATATGCAGCAGATCTTTGATCAGCGACGATCGAGCGGCGACCCTCGTGGACCTGGTCCTTCGAACAGGCACCAAACTGGCGTCCCTTGCTCCTGATATTATTCTCGGCATGGTGTTGGACCTGATCAAACGATACTCGTCCCCCGGGTGTCTCCTCCTCTTCCTAAATGTTCCGCACAACATGTTCACGATGTAGCCTCGATTATAAGTTTTCCCTAAGTAACCTTGTTGGATCCCTTTTGGTGTTCACCCACCCCAGAGATCGAGTTTGCGTCTATCAAGGATTTCTCGAGCGCATCAGTCACTTCCTAGATGATCTCTCTCATTCGCGAATATTATTTTTCAAGATATAATCTCGACAGTTTTACGAGAAATGAATAGACACTCTTGATCTTTCCAATCGAACACTCGCGGATATCCGTTAGAATCCTTTCCCCGAGAGAAGTGGGATCTATTCCCTTTCGAGAGCAATCGTTGAAATTCGCAGGGCGTAATCTCCCCGAGATATTTTCCCGCGCCCAGATTCCTGCATCCACTTGACCCTCCGAGCCGCGGCCGCACCCCCCCGGGTTAATCAGTTGCCCGTCCGTTTCTCTCGCTTCTCGGCCACCGCTCGGCGTTCGTACCTATCTTTCCTCTCGTTCCGATCGCCATCCACGCACCAATTAACGTGCAACGAGAGGGACGATCTTGGTCTCGAGCTCCTCGACCAGCGCTCGGTCTCGATCAAACTGCGCTCGAGGACTCGTAGGATACCTTCCTTCCCCACTACACCCTCGATTCCCTTCACTTCCGCGCGATAAGTCCGCCGTTGCAATTCTTCTTTTCCTTTTTTTTCCTTTTGTACCTCCTTTCGCGAGATCGGATCCCGATTTATCGCCCAGCACGCGACATAATTGGAGAACCCGAGAACCGTGATTGTCCTGTTGCTGCTGCTCAACGCGACCGGGGGGCGCCAACACACCTTTCCAGCGATCCTCGGCCTGCTCGATGCTCGTAATTAACGGAATCTCAGCCGGCTCCGAGTCGCAGTGAGAGCCGAGAGTCGACTGAAGGCATAAGGCTCCGTGTCGGACTCGTCGAAGGAACCCCACCACGTTGATTTCAGCAACACCCGGCTACCCGGCCCGACCGGACGACCTGGTCGCGTGGCGCTCGGCACAGATACGCAGTGTCTCTCAAAATCGTCCCTGGGCACCCTTCATTCCCGATATATATAATAGAGCAATGCGTATTATTTTTTATTATATGCGTATATAAAATATTATAAAATATTATAAATATTATATAAAATATTATAAATAAAGAGTGAGGAAAAAGTAGACCTTTAAATTTTTCGAAAATTATGCATTTTAGAAACAAATATTTCAGACAAAAGTTGTCGGGTTTCAAGTAATGCATTACTTAGTAAAATCAGTGTAACCTTGAAAAGCACCGCCAAAGTCACATAAAAATCACTTTGGATTTTTTAAATGGAACCCCTACTTTTTATTATATATTCTTGTAGCTTGTTTCAAGAGCTTTCCAAAACACTATAATAAAGTATTTTTTCAGTGAGTACTTTTCAAGTTATAAGGCTCGAAATAATTTCTTAATTTTACATAAATCATAAACAATAAAATATTTTTTCTTCAAAACATTTAAGGATTTCTATACTTTTTCCAAAACATTTAAGGATTTCTATACTTTTTCCTCACCCTGTATATCAAATATTATAAAATATTATAAATATTATAAAATATGCGTATATATTATGCGTATATATTTTATATTATATATATTAATTAATTATAACAGCTAATCATTTTTTCATAATTTTGTTTGAGATAACTGGATAATAAATGACATTATAAATAGCAACATTACGTTTTAAATACGTATAGGTTTTTCAAAATAGTTGAAAAACAATTTTGCTCCTACATTTTGCATGTAACAATGGAAAATTAAAATTATTTTAAATTAAAATTATTTTAAAATAAAAAATTATTTTAAATATATTAGAAAAGTGTAACCAGCAGAGGAAGTTTGTATCTCGGTGAAGGATTGATTTCCACTTTGATTGCGTTATTTGCACTTTCTCGTTCGTATTTACGAGGTAAAATACGAATCCCGTATGATCTCGCCGAGTACGGAAGTTAATGATATTCCATTTCCCACGAAGAATTCCTACAACGCGTAACGTTCTCAGAGGAATCTCATCTGTATATAAATGAATCTCTTGGACTCTTATTACGTGAGAATAAAAATTTGAATATCGGGATGACCTACTTAACGTTTATCGAACTTCCAAATCGGAAGTTCTTCTTGGAACTCCCTGAGATCATGGATTTCGAGTCTAACCGAGCTAGACCAGCTGAAGAGATTCGAGACACATCTGCCTTTTCCGTCGCACACAAATGCGTGATTTTCATTAGTCGAAAATATAAAGACGAAAAAATAAAATAAATGTCACGATCTTTTTGACGTATTAAAAAGTCAGTATTATTATAATTTATTTAGGATATAACATTTAGGATATAACAATACGTCATATATATATATATATATATATATATATATATATATATATATGTATGACGTAATTGATATTGCGAAGTACGATTGTAAAAATTTGCATGCACAGAAAAAAAAGAAGTGTCAAATCAAAACTTATATACTTAAACTAACGCGTTCATTGTTTCGTATACACCCAACAATTTATAACTTTCTTGAAAGAATTTAATAATTTTAAATTTCAACAATATTATAGTCTTATTTTAATATTGTAATTGTCACCTCCAGAATATATAATTATTTAATTCTACTTTAAGAAAATTAAATCTTTGATTTAAAAATGTTATTTTCTATCTAACATTGTTTCTTTTCCATTCGAGAAAATTAAATCTTAAATCATAAGAATATATATTTCTCGATTGAACTATTAAAGTGGCATCATTCAAGTAAGCAATTATTCAAGCAATTATATTTTTCTTAAATTAACGCAATATAATCTCATTTCAAAATTTCCACGTTAAAACTAAATATATTTTCAAAACAATAATATCCTTTTTTCCTGTGCTGAATTTATATGTTTATACGCAGAAAAAAAATAAGAGTGTCAAATCAAAATTTATATACTTAAACTAACGCGTTCATTGTTTCGTTATATACGCAACAATTTATAATCTTTTTAGAAGAATTTAATAATTTTAAATTTCAACAATATTATCGTCTTATTTTAATATTATAATTGTCATCTCAAGAACATATAATTATTTAAGTCTACTTTAAGAAAATTATAATCTTTGATTTAAAAATGTTATTTTCTATCCAACATTGTTTCTTTTCCATTCGAGAAAATTAAATCTTAAATCATAAGAATATATATTTCTCGATTGAACTATTAAAGTGGCATCATTCAAGTAAGCAATTATTCAAGCAATTATATAATATTTCCTTAAATTAACGCGATATGATCTCATTTCAAGATTTCCATGTTAAAACTAAATATATTTTCAAAATAAGAATGTCCTTTTTTTCTGTGTGGAAAATGTGAAAATTCAAAAATCGATTGCATATTATTTGCTTCGTAACCACCGTGTCGCGGAAAAATCTGTCGGTTGATTGAATCGCCGACCGCAGATTCCAAGGAAAGCCGAATGCACCTGTCTACTTATGTAAGTTCGCAGAACTTCGGTCGTAATTCTACGTTCGAGGAAGGTCCTTTTCGCATGTATGAATGTTGCGGTTTGCTCGGTCCAAATCGTTTCCCTTCGACGGCAAAGGCATGCCCTCGGTTTCTCTGTATGATCGGATAAGTGTTCGAGTGCTTTCTGTGGATTCGCGCAATAATCGACGCCTCATCGAGGTCTCACTTTGTGTCATTCTTACGTTTGACCGCAAAAATTTATCCAATAAAAGAAAGAATTAAATTTATTAATTTATAAATGTATTAATTTTATATTAAATTTATTCATTTGTAAATTTATTAATACTAAAAATTTATTAATATTATCAATATTATATTAATTTAATGTATTAGTTTAATTTACTAATTCAATTAACTTAATTCATTTAGTTATTAATTTTAATTAAATTTATATTAGTTTCATTAAATTTACATATAAATTTATTAACTGATTGAACTAAATTTAATTCAATTTATATTAATTTAATTCAATTTATATTTAGTTTGATTTATTAATATTTAAATATAAAGTCTCATTGAGACATTCTTCGGAATTAATTTTAAAAAGATGTCATCGCTAAAATATAGATTTATGGAAAATATAAAGCTTTATTAGTAGAAGCTTCATTGTTAAAAGATTTCAACATCTTCCTACATTTTTGTTATTATTATTTTATATTTTATATATATATATTATATTTATATAAATAATATAGATAAGTAATATAATGCGACATTTTGTAATCTTAAAGTAAAATGGAATATTTTTCTGATTCGTTTATAATCAATTCATTCAAGAGAGGCTAACATTATTATATTTAAATCTCAGGAAAATTTATAATAAGGATGAAATTAAATTTAAAAATTTAGCTTCCCAATATATCCTACTCAGAAATATTGAATTGAACCAGCCATTATACACGTATGCTTTTTCTCAATAATGTGTGTTTAAGGAAGCGAGTAAACTTCAATTAGTTTAAGCGCGAGAAAAATGAGAAAGCCATTTGTCGAAATGATCGGGTTGAGTACCGCAATTATGACTAACAGAAAACTCAGGTGAGAGCGGCGTGCATTTACATTAGAATCGATATAAAACCGTGCGATTATGTGCACCGCATGGCCAACCTCCGTGTATATAATGAAGGGTGTTTCGCACCCTTCGCAGAAAAACGGACGGTATATAATTTTGGCGTGAGTCATGCGAGGCCCTCAAGATGAGTAAATGACGTCGCGCTGGCGTAAGCTGGCTCTGAACTTTCTCAATCGATTAGGGTTGCACAAGACCCAAGACAAGACAATATTCGTCAAAATATTGTATTAGTATTGAAAATTTTGAAAAATTTAAATCTTATCTTGGTCTTGGATGAATATTGGTAGCAAAAGTCTCGTCTTGTATTGTCTCGTCTCGATTTTATTAACAATTTTTTATCTAATATTAAAAAATTATTTAAATAATATTTAACATAATTTTTGTAATATAATTTGAAATAATTATTACTATTGTATTATATTTTAATTATAATTACTATGTAATCGATATAAATGCTGTCTATTTATATAAAAAAAATTTACTGTTTCATGGAAAATAGAAATTAATAACTATTTACAGGCTCCAAGGGAATGTGCAGATATAAATATTTTAGAGTGGTAAAAAAATCAGGTTCATATTTATCCCACATTGTCAAAAATGGCTCAAGACATTTTAAGTTCAACTGCCTCGTTCGTGCCAGTAGAAAGACTTTTCTCAATAGGAAAACTCTGACTATGTCAAAAAATAAAACCAGATTACAAAGTAAATCTTTAAAAGCACTAATGTGCATCAATTCCTGGGTGAAATACTCTTTAATGTCTAAAATTTGCGAGTTTGATTTCTAATTAATAAAAATGTTATATTGTATTAATATTAAATGTTTTTAAATTTATCAATATAAATGTTTTTATTGAATAAAATTTTTTTAAATTCGTATATAGTGATTTTTTTCATTTACAAATATAAATATTTTAGTTTTTTTGAGAACCAATAATCTTGACAGTCTTAGTCTTGGTATTGTCTTGATAACTAATTAAAAATCTTGTCTTGATCTTGTCTTGAAATTCAACACAGACAAGACAATATCAAGACTATTCTTGGTATCTCGTGCAATCGATACTCGCCGAGCGAGCTTTTCAGCATATCTGTCGTACAGATGTTACATTGCATTTCCGAAAAAGAACGCCCCGGAGAAATACGCGAAACACGCGCAAATTGCGCGCATGTAAATTATGAGGTTTGCCCGCCAAAGGACCAGAGATTTCATTTTAACCATGTCGCGCATAACTGTAATGAAATATTTTCAAGCAGATCGCACACAGTGTGAAGCATGGATTCGTGTGACAGATTTGTTTTTAATACGAATTAGCATAATTAATGCGAAAGGATGACACCGGCATCTTTAATCATCGCAATGCTCCTCGACTATTGAATGGAAAATAAAAGAGACATGTAAATTTATCTTATTTTATGAATATAAATATATATTTTTATAATTTAAA